TTCCTGCTGGATACGATATTCTCACGCTCGATGAAAAATCGTCGATATTTCAAGCTTTTATAACTTCGTGAGAAAAAAAAAAAAATCGCAGAAAAATCCAACTGAGCTTATTTTGAAGAGTGACGCTTCTACTTTCACAATGTTACCTTTCAAAAACATTTTCTGAAAAGCCATTATAAGTAACTATATATTAATGAAAATTAATTAATATATATATAAATTTAATTATAATTAATAATTATATAATACTTATATTAATATATATATAATAATAATGAAAATAATATATAAATTATATATAAATATAAAAAATAATTAACATCAACTCGTGTGTATATAGGGACGCTTATATACGGATTATTATTACACGAGGAGAAAGAGGAAATACTATATATCCATCTTTGTTCCATAGGAATAGAATTCGTTGGTGAACAGGAGGAACAGTAGTTTTATGCGGGTAGCACGGAGTATTAATTTACTTCCACCATCGCACGCAGTTCCCATAGCGATACTAACCGCTAATTATACGTAGTCGGTCATTCCGCGGAAATTGAGCGTGCGTGGTTCAACGTTAGTGAAAACGAGCAACAGTCGTGAGTTTTCCTTGTAATACTTTCAATGGGAGCTCATTAGAGTGAGAATGATTCGAAGTTAACTGTAACAACAGCGTGGCGATGAAAATTTGCATAGTTCTTGCCCTTTTCCCCTCTTCCCCCTATTCAATCTATCCTGCATGCTGCTCTACTTTGCTATTCTCTCGATCTGCCGCCTCCTCTCGCGTAACTCGAATCGATATCGTTCGCTTCCTGCGGAGTTTCTTTTTAGGAAATTAATTAAAAAACGTGGCGTTCATTACCATTACATAGGGACGCCACTGTTTCTCTTCCTCAGCGTTTCTTTAGTCATAATTTCTTTTTATTACAGAATATCGAACAATGTACAATTCTCTCTCGAACTTTGCCATCGTTGTTCAACCTCTTTTTTCCCCCCTCTTCTCTTCTTCTTCTACGAGTCACCTGCTCGATACGTGTACACGCTTTCCACTTTGTCAACGTTATGCATATTTATGATATAAATATGCCAACAATATTGTATGCATACAATAAAATGTGCCAACCTTCGGCCGGTACTTTTAGATTATGGCTGACCCACATCAAGTTTGGGTCAACAAGTAAACAAGTCGGCCGAAGGTTAGAATGTTCTCCGTTTGAAGAACCACCCCTTAGTATTACTTGTACATTTTTATTCGCATATCACGGCCAATGGCAAATTCTTTCTCTTGAAAAACGAGTATGTCTGAGCGATATTCGAAGGCGCGATTTTATTAACTTTATTACCAAAGCGTGTATCGGCCGAAATTTCTTGCGCATTGTAAACGGTTCGTTGCTGGCGACGAGGATGAAAAGGGAGGATTATGCGCGAATAAAGTGTGTCCTAGTTTTTGTCCTAGCTCTTTTTTTTTTTTTTTTTTTTTTTT